CCTTGTGCTTTTCTCTCCTTCCCAGACTCCACTGACCTTTCACTCAGGAGCCAGGTGGAGCTGCGAGAGATTTAATTGAACGGATTCCTCAGATGTGTTTTGGGGCTTGGGTGATGATGGAGGAGGAGAGCCTGGTGATACCATATTGGAAAAGAGAGAGAGATGTGTTTGAGTAAGGAGGGAGGGGGGAATGGGAAGAAAGGGAAGGGAGGGGAGAAAAGAGAATCCACAACAACAAGTTTGCACGATGACCTTCAAAGGCTAATTGCTCGGCTCTTCCTGGGCCTTCATTGGGCCTTCGGCTCACACAGGGGACCGGTGGTGTTTGGCGGAGCCCAGGCATTCCCTGCACAGACACGGCTTCCTCCCCACACAGGCAGACTCCCTGCTCCCTCAGAAGTGTTGCCGCAGTGCTGTCTTCCCAGTGACCCTCACACGGCAATCGATAGCTGTCGAGCCAAAGGGGCCACCTTGTCTTTCTCGTCTCCGCCTTCCACCAACACCACTTCACACACATGCACACGCACCCCTCAGCAGCGCTGCATTAACAGGCCAGGTTCATGCTTAATTTCCCAAGCCTCCCTCATTAATCTTAACAAGGGAGAAGAGACAGAGAGAGGAGCAGGACGAGAGGGGGGAAATCAGGCCTATAGCAAAGATGTAGTCTCAAGCTGGATTGGGAAGGGAGGGGAAGGTCTATAAGACAAGGAGCAATTGGTTTTTGTTTAGGGCTTCCTCTCTCTTTTTTGGCCCCAGAACTGCTTCACAATCCTTCTCGACAGAAAACCCTTTTTGGAAAGCTTTCTGTGTCTTTCATAAAGATTTTGAAAAAAAGAAAACCCTCAAGTACTTACGTGACTTGGAAGATTTGGGAAGAGATCATATAAAATGCCCAGGGGAGCTAAGGAAAAGGGGAGGGAAAAAATCAGATGAGGAGGGGCTGATTGGCTTTGTGGTGCTTTTACAAGGAGGGCAGCATGATTTTGGGGCAAAGGATGAAGGATGCAAATTTCCCATCCCTCACTAGCTGTGAGGCCAACTGGAAGCAGTTGGAGAATACAGATCAATGTGTTTAAAATAGCCTGCTCTTTTAAGCCTTATGGGGAATTGGGTCCTGTTAAAATGAATGCAAAAAATTACTCCAAAGCCCCATTAGACGGTCCGTTAAAAACAACCCTTTCCTTTTTCATGCTGAATGTAACACTCACTTGATCTTGTTTTGTTTGGTCCCAAATTTTGCACCAGCACTCTCAAGTACGTTTGTTCCCTCTCTTTTTAATTACCCCCCACTTTTCTCCCCTTATAACGTTCTGCCTTCATTTGTCTTCCCATTCCCCCCCCTTCTCTTTTTTTGGAACATAAGTAAAGCACAGTGAATGAATCTCAGCTGACTTAAATGGGTGACAAGGGAGAAAGGAAGAAGGAAATTCATCCCTTCTTGTCTTTGAGAGCAATTTAATTAGGCTCTCGCCCCCTATGAGTACGTTAAGGGAAGGACAAGAGGATAGGATTTTACCCAGGCTTCCTCTGAAGGCAGAAGCGGCCTTGGACACACATGCAGAGAGGAAAGATTCTTAAAGGCTCATGTAAGAAGATCAACAGATAAGCAGCTAATTTTGTGTACTTAGGAAGCAAATGAGTGAGAGGTCTCTCGCTGGAATAGCTAGAGCAATGGGAATGGAAAGAAAGAAGGGGAGGGGATGGATGGATAGCAGGAAAAGGCCACTGGGTATTTTACTATTAAAACTGATGGCCAAAATTAAAGATTTATGTAGCTTGATGTGATATCTTGGCTGCATGTGTACATATATATCTATATACATATATAGACATATTGATTTTTCCCTTACACAGCTCAGTTATTTCAAGAATTTTCATCAGGGAAAACCCATTTTTAAACTAATTGGAGTCTGTGGAGAGGAAACCTCATTTTTGGTTCAAATGAATTTTCCTGAAAATGTCATTTGATTCGGGAAATATGACGGATCTGCCTGATTTCTTGATAAGAAATGAAATGAGCCGTTGTCCTTCAGGATATCGTCGGCTTGAAATGGGGTTTTTTTTATGGTTAATGCCATCAGATAGAAGTGTCCTACTTTGGAAAGAGAAGTCCATCAGCCGCAGGGGGAAAACTGAAGCCAGCATCTTTGACTCCGCGCCGGTTGCAGTTAGAACTGGCTTTCAGAAATGATGGATCCCTTTTCCTCCCAAGCAATAATTACAAAGCAAATTGCAGTAAATAACCAAATGATCAAAGGAGCAGGCGCAAAACAGCTTCTGTGTTCAGCTTCTGCATTCAGCATTTTGTTCTATGTGGCCAAATTAGAGGCTCCTGCATCTAAAGGCAGATTGGCCCTTAGATGGCGCACCACTCACGAGCACATGAGACTCCCACTGGGCAAAGGTGCTACTTAGGTGTTCCTGCACTTCTTATATGTGGGCCCTTGAAAAAGTTCTACAGTGATAATGGAAGCCACAGCAGTGATGGTATCTGGGGGCTGTGAGGGGAACAGGCCCATCAACAGGTCAGAAGGGATACTTGGAGACTTGAAGTAAAGTTAGCTGTTTTATTTAGGAAAATAGTATACCAAAGAGATCACTCAGGGACTGCTGCCTCCGTGAAGACATTGCCAAGACTGGCTTTGGGTTTCTCCTCTTCCTCTTAGTCCTCCACTTCTGGACGTCTTCCAAACAGACACAAACTCCAGCAACTTCTCTTGGGCTTCTCTGACACTTTGCAAGACATCAGAGTCAAAGGAGGAGGGGAGCTCCATGCAAAGGGACCGGGCAGCTGCTGTCACAGTGCCTGGCCCCTCTCTGTCCTCTCCTTCAGATTCTGAGCTTTAATTGCCTCCCTCTGCAGCCAGTTCTGTCCTTGGAGAGTTCACTGCTTTGATGTCTTCTTGTTCACTCAAGCCTCCTGTGTCTTCCACTCCCAGTTTCCTCCCTCCTCTGACCTGTCTTCTGGGTCCCACCACCACTCCCCTGGATCTGAGCCTTCTTCCTCTGTGGCTTCCCTAGGGCGGTCCTCAGCTGGAGTCTCCCACTACTCTTCGTCATCCAGATGGATATTGTCACCACATGACAGCATCCGATCAAACAAAGAGCATTTTTTGTGTGATATAGTAGCCTGATGCTCGTGTGGGTGGGCCAAACGCAAATTGGCCCAGTGGGTCTGTCAAGGCTAACACACAACTGTTAATTTTGAAGGGGATCCATCATCTTTGCCAGCGTGCTGTAAATGGTTAGAGTGTTGGGTTAGGACCTGGGAGACCAGTGCTCAAGTCCCCATTTGGCCACACTGAATTTAGGGCGGTGCGGGTGGTTCCCTTGCACTGAGCCAAGGGGGGTGGGCACAACATAATTATAAAAATAAAAGTTATATACGGGTACCTACTGAAAAGATCCATTCAAAAAGCAACTATACCAAAAATAATGATTGTGAAAATAGGATTTTTTTTTGGGGGGGGGGGAGAATATGTGCCATTTTTTGCCCTGACTCAGGGTACCATATTACCAAAGTCCACCCCTACACTTAGCTATGAAGCTCACTGGGTGATTTTGGGCCAGTCATTGCCTCTTACCTTTTGTTGTTGTAGGGATTAAATGAGGAGAGGAGCAGGTTTGAGTGAATGTGTTGAGACCAGGGTGCTGCTCAACGTTACACACCCTTCCCCATTGCTAATTACCTCTCTTGTAAATAATGGCAACCACCACCACCACCACAACAACAGGGAGGTCCCACAACCAGCAAGGTAGCACGCTTTAGAAAGTAAAGGATCAGTGTTCTCTTTTTGTAAAAAGAAGTCAAAATCCAACTGTGCCCTGCAGATTAAATAACCAGGAATGAAACCTGTCTCTTAATGATTTTTAAGGCTATTCAAGGCAGGATCACATGCAAGATATCATGGCATTCTTTTCATGAAGCTATGCTACCTGCTAGCCTTGCAACAATAAATAAATTCAGACAGTAGGTTCTCTCATTACAGTATCTTCGTAGGTTGTTACTGCTTTCTGTTTGCGTTGCACCAAGCTGAAAAGTGGATTTGGGAGACTAACATCTAAAGCACATTTATCTTTCTTATTTTATTCATGCCTCCTGTTTTATCCCACCTTATCTTTAAGCCCTTCAGTGCTATCCAACATGCTGGTTGCTTCCCAGAAGAAAAGAAAATGGGTGAAATGCACTAGCGCGACTCTTTGAATCCATTTTTGGGTACCAACTGTGCCAGGATAAATGAGTTAACCTTAGCATCAGTGCAGTATGAGACGCCTCAACGTTGTCTGTGCATCGAAAGCTGCAAATTATCTACCAAAATACTAAATTGGACACTCAAGGGAAAGCTCATTTTCTCCCCGAAAACAGATGTCTTGAGCATTTGAGTTGCTTTAATGTTCAGCGTGCGCGTCTTTGGAAAACCAATCCCACCAGACCCAAGTTAGGATAAGAAGAAATCAGGATGGCATTTAGTACAGTCCCCATGTGGCTTTTGGGTGTCAGGTGCATTGAATCTGCTGCCCTGACCTTTGTGTTTGTGGGGAGAAGCCTTCGCCTACTTTGGAAGCAGCCCAACACCATAAGAAAATCATGAACCTGTCCAGCACCTTCACAAGAGTATCAGGCAGAGATTTCAGGATAAAAAGTGGCTTGGCTGGTTGCTAAACAAAATAGAAGGAAAGCTGTTACATCACAACTCAAGAGCAGATCAGAGGCATATCTAGGCCATAGGTGCCTTTGAAACAGAGGAAGATGTCTTAAACTGATTCAGACATTTTGTCCATCTAGCTCAGTATTGCCTATACCAGCCTTTCTCAACCTTGGGCCCCCATATGCTATTGGACTACAACTCCTATCATCCCTAGCTAGCCGGACCAGTGGTCATGAATGATGGGAGTTGTAGTCCAACAACATCTGGGGACCAAAAGTTGAGAAAGGCTGGTCTACACTGACTGACAGGAGCTGTCCAGGGTTTCCGGCAGGGTTCTCTTCCAGCCTTACCTGGAGATGTTGGGGATTGAACCCTGGGCTTTCTGCATACAAGGAAGATGCTCTACCACTGAGCTATGGCCCTCCCCCAATTTGGTTCTGCAAGCCAGATGGAGGGCTCATTGAGAATTCCTCTTGTCCTACCCCTTTCCCTCATGAAAACTCTACCTTCATCGCTGAATTGAAGCAATTGGCAGTAAGGTTTTTCATAGGTTGGCGTTTGCTCTGATTCAACTCCAAAGAGTGAGTTTTCCTGGCGGAAGCAGTGGGGCAAACAGAAAACCACTCAGACCCATGCCTAGAAAGCACGGGGCAAGCGGAAAACCTCTCATACCTGTACATGGAACAATCGGAAGTGTGGACAAGCCCTGAAATGGGTCCAGGTAATCAGGATCTTCCAAGAAAGTTTGTAGTTGCATTGCCACTATGCTCTTGATCACCTTCTCTTCCTGCCACCTGTCAAATAAATACTAGTGATAAGCTGACAATTGTCCTACATAGTTGGATCTAAAGTTGCCTTCTTTATGCAGAAGAAGGAGAGACAGTGCCCATAACCAGGGAAATCTGGCTTATAGCTACACGTAGCCCACAGGGGAAGGGCATCTGCTTGACATGCAAATGGTCCCAGGTTCAATGCCTGACATCTCCAGGTAGGGCTAAGAGTGTCTCCAGTCTAGAAGCCCTGGGGAGTCACTGACGGTCAGTGTAGACCAGACTGGTGCCCTCTAGATGTTTTGGATTACAAATTCTGCAGGCTGGGGCAAATATAGAGAGTACTGAACTATATGGACCCATGGTCTGACTTGGAGTGAGGCAGCTTCCTCCGGTCCACTCAACACAGGGACCCTATGTCCATTCTGGAGCCTGTGGGCCCTGCCAGCACACTGCACCACCGTCAGTGGCTTGAAGATGCCAGCTGTTGACAATGAGCCTAGCTGCAGACCACCTTTCCCTTGCCCCCATTCCTGCTCCACCCCTGCTACTGCTAACCCTTCCTGTAGCTTTATTCACTTATTACTGCACTTACAGAACACTTTCCCTCTAAGGTGGTGTACATGGATCTGCCCCTCTCCATATTATCCTTACAACAACCCAAGTTAGGTTGAGTGATTGTGACGGGCCCTTGTAAGCTTCGTGGCCAAATGAGGATTTGAATCCTGGTATCCTGGTTCCTGTTCCTACACTCTAACCTAGGGGTCAGCAAACATTTTCAGCAGGGGGCCGGTCCACTGTCCCTCAGACCTTGGGGGGGGGGGACCAAACTATATTTTGAAGGAAAAAAATATGAACCAATTCCTATGCCCCACAAATAACCCACAGATGCATTTTAAATAAAAGCACACATTCTACTCATGTAAAAACACGCTGATTCACAGACCGTCCGTGGGCCAGATTTAGAAGGCGATTGGGCCAGATCCGGGCCCCGGGCCTTAGTTTGCCTACCCATGTTAGACTCTAACCACTATACCAAACTAGCTTTCTGACATGAAAGTTCTCAGCAGTGTGTTAGGTAAAGGTACCCCTGACCATTAGGTCCAGTCGCGGACGACTCTGGGGTTGCACGCTCATCTCGCTCTATAGGCACGCTCATCTGCGTTTGTCCGCAGACAGCTTGGGGTCAGGTGGCCAGCATGACTAAGCCACTTCTGGTGAACCAGAGTAGCGCACGGAAACGCTGTTTACCTTCCCGCTGGAGCGGTACCTATATATCTACTTGCACTGGCGTGCTTTTAAACTGCTAGGTGGGTAGGAGCTGGGACTGAACAAGGGGAGCTCACCCCGTTGCGGGGATTCGAACCGCCGACCTTCTGATTTAGACCACAGCACCACCCGTGTCCCCAGAAGTGTGTTAGGTGTGCTTAAAATTTTTGCAAGGCAAAAATGACATTCCCTTCCCAAACAGGTGCCCAACTTTACATGGGACCAGGAAGAATGAAGAAGCAAATGAAAGCATGATTAATCATTTTGTCTCTTAAATCACCGTGACATTTTCTGGATGGTTCTACAGTCGCAGTTTATTTGACAATTCCGCTCATGATGCACGGGGAATCTCTTCATTCAGTTTACTATTGTGTGTTTAGAGCTAGCTGGGTTAAAAGGAAAATGTTCCTGGCAGGTAAAAAGCTGAACATAGGCAGCTTTAAACACAGATGTAAGATGAAAAGCAATGAGTGGATTACCCCAATTCCGCTTCTGTGTTGCTCCGTGGATTTGCTCTGCTCTACTTTCACCCTCCTTCCAAAGTCTGGTTTAACTTGAAGGACTCTGAAAATTAAATCTGGAATTGGTGTCTGTGCAGTTTGTCACAGAGTTAGTTCCTTTGGAGCATATGTATCTTCCATCCCCACCCCCAAAATCAAAGGACTATAGAAGCTAAAGAAAAGAGTTTTATAGTTCAGGGATGGAGCTAAGGGAGGGAGAGAAATTTGATTCAGTTTGCAATTGAAGCCAAATCTATCAAATCTGACCTTTCTCAAACAATATGGAAACTGAGGCACAGCCATCCTTCAAACGTTGTTTTTATTCAAATTTTGCAGTGCAGTTCCCCAACCAGCGTTTACAAAATTGCATATATTTCAGGGGAAGTGTGCATACATAATATTAATATGTATTAGAGAAAACAGCATATGAAAATGTATTATATAAGGGGGGAAATGCTTGCAAAAATGTGTACATTAGTCAAAACTGAACTGAAAATGTGTTCGTTAGAAGGGTTGGCACCCGTCTGTCTCAGGAGACAATGGAGGAGCTCACCTTGGGCGGTGAAGTCAAACTGTTGAAGAGTTGCAGTGCCTGCTGTGGCTGTAAAGAGTGCCTGGGGCAACTCAGACGGACGGGGGAGAAGAAGAAGAAGAGGAAAAGAGGAAGACATGTTTTGTTGCAGCTGGGGCAGATGAAGGCATCCGCTTGTATCGTGGTGTTTCTTTTCTCAGTAGTCATTCCTCCTCTGTTCGCTGCTGTGGATAAACAACCTGACTGTGTCTCCAGGCACTGTGGTCATCTGCAAGGGATTCCCACAAGGCAGGGTTTATGTTGCCAGCCTTCAGGTCACAACTGCAGACATATTTATTTATGGTCTGCCAATGGAACTGGTGCCTGAAGCCAGCTCCCCGTACAGCACGTCCTTGGGGATCCTACTATCTCCCATTCTGTGGACATGACTAAGCCAGAGTAGACATCGCTGAGACAGGAGTGTGAACATGCTGGGAATGTGGGCTTGAGAGAGCACATCTTTGTTTGAGACTCTGTGCTGCCATATGCTGCCCCAAACCTTCCTGACACAGCGCATGTGGAAGGCATTGAGGCATTGCTCCTGATGGGTATAAGTTGCCTATAAGTCAGTACCATATAGCAGTGTGTTCAACACGCAAGCCTGGTAGACCTTCATCTTGGTATTGGTCATTAGCATCACATTCTCCCTTACCCTTCTGGATAAGTGATCCATTGCTGTAGCTGCTTTGCCAATACACCTGTCCTGCTCAGCATCGATGGAGACATTCCTGGTTATATATTCTTCAGCCAAGTAACATGCACAGGGATATAGAATACTGTACTAGGCCACTGGTCCCATCACCTCCTGGCAAATAGAAGGGGAAGAAATGGAGGCAGTAAGAGATTTTACTTTCTTGGGCTCCATGATCACTGCAGATGGTGACAGCAGTCACGAAATTAAAAGACGCCTGCTTCTTGGGAGAAAAGCAATGACAAACCTAGACAGCATCTTAATCAGTAGAGACATCACCTTGCCAACAAAGGTCTGTATAGTAAAAGCTATGGTTTTCCCAGTAGTGATATATGGAAGTGAGAGCTGGACCATAAAGAAGGCTGATCGCCGAAGAATTGATGCTTTTGAATTATGGTGCTGGAGGAGACTCTTGAGAGTCCAATGGACTGCAAGAAGATCAAACGTATCCATTCTTAAGGAAATCAGCCCTGAGTGCTCACTGGAAGGACAGATCGTGATGCTGAGGCTCCAGTACTTTGGCCACCTCATGAGAAGAGAAGACTCCCTGGAAAAGACCCTGATGTTGGGAAAGATGGAGGGCACAAGGAGAAGGGGACGGCAGAGGATAAGATGGTTGGATGGTGTTCTTGAAGCTACCAGCATGAGTTTGATCAAACTGCGGGAGGCAGTGGAGGACAGAAGTGCCTGGCGTGCTCTGGTCCATGGGGTCACGAAGAGTCGAACACGACTAAACGACTAAACAACAACAACTAGGGTGAAGTGTGTGCAGAAATGCATAGATCGGTGGAAGTAAAGGTAAAGGGACCCCTGACCATCAGGTCCAGTCGCGGACGACTCTGGGGTTGCGGTGCTCATCTCGCTTTACTCGCCAAGGGAGCCAGTGTGCAGCTTCCGGGTCATGTGGCCAGCATGACTAAGCCGCTTCTGGCGAACCAGAGCAGCGCACAGAAACGCCGTTTACCTTCCCGCTGGAGCCGTACCTATTTATCTACTTGCAGTTTGATGTGCTTTCGAACTGCTAGGTTGGCAGGAGCTGGGACCGAGCAATGGGAGCTCACCCCATCACGGGGATTCAAACTGCCGACCTTCTGATCAGCAAGTCCTAGGCTCTGTGGTTTAACCCACAGTGCCACCCGCGTCCCGTTATAGTAGATAGGCTTCCCTAAACAAAAGTGTTTTTAACAGGTGCCAAAGAGAGTACCCTAAAGTCTGTTGCCTGATATCAGTAGACTGGGAGTTCCAAAGAGCGGCTGGTGCTGCACTAAAAGATCAGTTTCTTTAAAATGTGGCATGAGTATTATGGGGCACCTGTAACAGTGAAAGTTCTGCAATTGAAGTGAGCAATTGGGAAAGGTGATCTTGCAAATAAAGTGATGCCAAGCTGTTAGAAGCTTTATACACTGCTAGTTCTACCTTGAACTTGGCCTAGAAGCAAATCGACATTCTATGCAGGTTTCTGAGCAGAGCTATTATATGCTGACATGGTTTCACTCCTGTTGGCAGTCATGCCTTCATGATGCCTTCATGGCCATTTGTGTACATGCCACGGCAGTTATACGTGATCCTGGTCTCTTCCCTGGCACTTACATGTGAATTTTGAATGGGTGGTGGTTAGGGATGGGGAAGAAACCCAATTCAGCTCACATTTAAACATGTCCCTACCTAATTTTCCCTTTCCAAAACAATACATGAACTGTAACACACCCACCCTTCAAAATTTGCCACTTTTCTGAATTTTGCAATGCAGTTCCACAGCCAAGTAATGTATGCAAAAATGCATATACTGGGGGAAAGTGTGCGTATAAATGCTTGAATTAGTGAAAATAACAAAATGTGGAAATTTGCTTGGCAAAAAATGTGTCTATTAGGGGAAATTGCATGCAAAAATGTGCATATTATGCAAAAAAATGCACAAAATGCTGATGGGTTTTCATGAGGACTTTTTCAGGGGGAAATGAGAAAATGTGGAGAACTGAGTTTAAGACTGGAAAAGCAGAGGGAAGCAGAGGGAAACCAAAATGGGCAGATTCACCTGCCCCTAGGGGAGATTTTGTATATATGAAATACCTTTCTGGTAGATATATGAAGGAACCTTGTGATGATGTGGATCATTGGCCCATCCAACCCAGAGCTACCTGCTCCAAGGTTTAAGGCAGTGGGTTTCCTGCATCCTTGCTGAGATT